TATAACAAAAGTAAAATATAAGCCTGTTCCTGAGAAAAATGTTTACTGAGGATCAGATTAGGAGGAAGTGCCATAGAGGATAGGGAAGAGGGAAAATTGGGAAGTATATAGAGAAAGCAATGTTTATAAGTTTTCATCATATATCTATGAAAAGAAGACTAGTCATAATGAATTGTGAGATCAAGTTAATATTTTCTTTTTTGGAGACTTTAAAACAAACCCTTTAAATTGTTTTATTTAAGAAAAAAAGTTCATCTAGACTGGGTAATTTTTTCAATAATAAGTACTTTAAAAGTTTAAATACACATGCCTACATTATAAAAAATTAAAACTATAATCAGATGCTGCATTTTAAAAAGTTAGAATGTTTCTAGCCTCTTAAATGCATTAAATATTATGCCTGAGTTCTTCTCCTCACTAAATAACTGAAAAAATACTAGTATTTTTTATCTAGCAAATTACCAAATAATTTTAAATTAAGCTTTTTTTTTGTGGTTCTGGGAAGCAGACCTAGGGTCCTGTGCATGCTAGGCAAGCGTTTTACCAGTGTGCTACATCCCCAGCCCAAATAATTTTAAATTTAGAATTAAAATCAAAACTGTTCCGAGAGTGTGAAGGCAGCAAAATGGCAGATCAGGAAGCTCCATCCAAGCTTTTGTTTCTCCATAGAAACATTAAAATTAAATGTACTGATATGTAGAGACACCTAAGATTCACAAGAACCTTATTAGAGCTAATTCAAGAGAATTCAGCAAAGATACAGGATACAAAATCAACACACAACAATCAGTTGCATATGTATATACTAACAATAAACAATTTCCAAAAGAAAATTTTATTACAATCGTCTAAAAAGGAATAAAATAGGCATAAATTTTATGGAGTAGACAAAACACTTGTACACTGAAAACTATAAAAAGTATTGCTGAAAGAATTTAATGGATATAAACAAATGGAAAGATATCCTGTGATCATGGAATGGAAGACATAAATACCACCTAATGTGAGCTATGGATTCAGTGTAATCCCTATCAAAATCCCAATAGTGTTTCTTTTGTAGAAATAGAAAAACCCATTCTAAAACTTTTATATGGGATATGAAGAGATCTAGGAAGCCAGAATAATCTTGAAAAAGAATAAAGTTGGAGGACTCATACTTGCTGGTTTCAAAACTTACTACAGTGCTACAGTAACCAAAACAGTATGGAGTAGGCATAAGGATAGACATTTCTAGACCAATGGAGTAAAACAGCAGTTTTTCAATCAATGGTGATGGAAAAACTGGGTATCAACAAGCAAAAGAATGATCTATATCTCACACTAGCTACAAAAATTAATTCAAAATGGATCTAACACCTAAATGTTAAGAGTTAAAAGTTTAAAACTCTCAGAAGAAAACAGCAAAAAATTTTCAATGGTTTCTTGGATTGACACCAAAAGCAGAGGCAACAAAATAAAAATTAAATTTGGTTTCACCAAAATTAAGACTTGTATGAGTCGAGCATGATGGCACACATCTGTAATTCCAGCACTTGGGAGGCAGAGGCAGGAGTACTGACGAAGCCAGCCTGGATTATATAACAAGACCCTGTCTCAAAATCATCCAACCGACCAACCAAACAAAATAAATACAAAACCCAAAAAAGACTTACATGTATCAAAGGATACTACTTGCCAAGGGATTTATAAGCAGACTATTCCAGGAGCTCAACAAGCTAAATTCCAAAGGAACTAACAGTTCAATCAATAAATGGGCAAATTAATTGAACAGATAATTCTTGAAAGAAGTACAAACAGCCAACAAAAACAAGAAAAAATGTTCAATATCCTTGGCCATCAATGAAATATAAATCAAAATGACAATGAGATTTCATCTCATCCTAATCAGAATGGCTATCATCAAGAATTCATACTTAAAAAAAAAAGAATTCAAACAAATGCTGGCAAGGATGTGGGGAGAAAGGAACTTTTATACACTTAGTGGGAATGTGAATTAGTGCAACCACTACAGAAAGCAGTGTAGAGGCTCTTGAAAAACTAAAAATAGAACTGACACATGACCCAGTGATATTCCCAGGCATATATCCAAAGGAACGTAAGTCAGGATACAATAGAAACACTTGGATACTCATGTTTAATTCAAGCTTTAGAATCAGCCTAGATGCCCTTCACCCAATGAATGGATAAGGAAACTGTGGTATATATACACAATGGAGTATTACTCACCCATAAGAAAAATGAAATTATGGCATTTGCAGGAAAATGGATGGAACTGGAGATCATGAGGTTTAAGCAAAGTAAGCCAGGTTATGAGAGATAAGGTTGCATGTTCTTGCTCATGTGAAATCTAGAGATACACACACACACACACACACACACACACGTGTGTGTATATGTATATATAGACATATTGCATACATCCACATATATATAGAAGTATGGCTGTAACCGAGGGACTAGGGTGATGAGGGGTAAACAGAATGATGGGGGAAGGACAATACCAAAATGCATTATGTCTATGTATGTAGATGGAACAAAGCAACCTATTACAAGCTACTGAAAAATAGTGGGGTAGTAAAGATGGGGAAAAACAGAGCAACAGAGGGGGCTAATCTGATCAATGTGCAACATATGCATGTGTGAAATACCATGGTGTAACCCCTTTGTACAATTAATATACACTAACAAACAAAAAGAAAGAAAAGGAATGGACAGATTCAGTGGCAGAAATTCAGAAGAAATAGTTGAATTCAATCACACCATCAATCAACTGGATACAACTGACATCTACAAACTACTTCATGCAATAACAATAGATTATATATTTTCCTGAAGCTCACATAAGACCTTCACCAAGAAAGACCATGCTCTGGGCTATTAACAAGTTCAGCACCTTAACAAGTTCAGCAGAGTAGAAATCATACAATGTCTTCTCTCAGACAACAATGGAATTAAACTAGAAATTAGTTACAATAAAAATAGCTAGAAAATGGCAAAACACTTGGACATTAAATTAACATACAAATAACACATGGGTCATGGAAAAAATTTTCAAGAAAAATTTAAAATATTCTGAACCAAATGAAAATGAAAAAGTTCTGAAAGAGAGCAGTGATGATAATTACAAAGTACTCTGAATATACTTAAAGTTAATGAACTAGTAAAAAATGGTCTAAAAATGACTTATAATCAAAGTTGGGTATGGTGGTACATGCCAATTTCACTGGAGGCAGGAGGACTGCTGAAGCCCAGGAGGTTCAGGCTAGTTTGGGCAACACAGTGAGACTCCCTGTCCAAAAAACAAAGCAAAGCAAAGCAAACAAAACAACAATAAGACCAGGGACCATGCATGGTGGTGCAGACCTGTAATCCCAGTTATGTGAGAGGTGGAGGTAGGAGGAACATAGTCCCAGACCACCCTGGGCAAAAGTAAGTCCCTATCTGAAAGATAAGCTAAACTAAAAAGGATTAGGGGCATGGCTCTTGTGGCAAAGTATCTGTCTATTTAGCAAGTGACTTCAAACCCCAGGATTGCCCACCACCCCAAAAAAGGTTTAGAATGATTATTATAAATTTTATGTTGCCTGTATTGTGCCATAAAAAAACTCTCTTTCTACACTTGTACATAAAATAAACTACTGGTATTCAAGGTTTCGACCTTCAAAATTCTCTAATACATTCAGTATGTAAAACCTTCACCATTTCAATAGTGTAACTTTAATAGAACTTGATAATTTAACTTTTAAATGGTGTACCTCCAAAATTTGTTATTATGATAAAGTACTGTTAAACATCCATTTCAAAGACTTCTTAAAGCCTAACCCTCATGACAATTTTGTGGGAAGTAAGAAATATGTGTCCACCCATGATGGATGAATAAAGAAAGTGTGTGGGGTGTGTGTGTGTGTGTGTGTGTGTGTGTGTGTGTGTGTGTGTGTGTGTGTGTGTGTGTGTGTGTGTGTGTCTGTGTCTGTAATGGAATACTAACCATACTTAAAAAAGGGAGATTCTATCTGGGTGCTGGTGATTCATGCCTGTAATCCTAGCTACTTGGGAGGCTCTCAGGAGGATCTCGGTTCGAGGCCAGTCCGAGCAAATAGTTCTTGATACTCTATCTTCAAAATAACCAGAGCAAAATGGACTGGAGCTGTAGTTCAAGTGGTAGAGCACCTGTTTTACAAGTGTGAAGCCTTGAGTTCAAAACCAAGTCCCACACACACAAAAAAGAGATCTGCCATTTGCTCTAACACGGATGGACCTGGAGGACATTATGCTAAGTGAAAGAAGACAAAGAAAGAAAATATTGTACAATCCCATTTATATGTGGAATAAGCAAACATCAAAAATACAGAGCTAAAGAATACAAGCCAGGATTAATGGCTTGTATTTGGTAGGTTGAAGCAAAGGATTATGTATTCAAGGCCACCCTGGCCTTTAGGGCAAAGCTCTGTCTCAGAAATCAGTCAACCAACCAACCAGCCCGCCCAAACCAAAAGAAAAAAACACCTCCAAGCAGTGTAGTGACTAAAGAGGGTAAGGGGAGGAAATGAGATGTAGGTCAAAGATACAAAGTAGCATATATGTAAGATGTAAAAGTCTATAGAGACCTAATGAAGGAAAGGACTACAGTTTTGTAAGGTATCTGGAATTTTTGTTTAACAAGTACATTTTAGCCGATTTTGTCACAAAAAGTAACTGGATATGTTAATTTGCTTCAACACAGTAATCATTTTACTATTATATGTATCTCAAGACATCATGTTATAGATGTCAAATATACACAATAAAAATTTATTTAAAACAAAAAGGACTGCAACTTTTAATTACAGTATTGCTTTTTAAGGAGAACAGTTTGCTGCAAAATAATCCCATTTTGGAAGACACCATTGGGTAAAGAAAGAATTACTACACCTAGAAACTGCTTGATCAATTGAATTTCTTAGTTATTAATTTTCTTAAATTCTAGGATTTTAACTAAATCACTTTTTCTCAGCACTTACTTTTTTGGTCAAAGAGTCATCAGACTCAGAAGGCATTCTTGTTGATACATGAAATACTACTTCTACTGTAGAGGTAGCAAAATATGGAGTGGTCAATCCAGTGCTTTTGTTTTTCTGTAGTCCTCCCATAAAACCACAATGATTCGTAAGATTTACCTAGAAACAATGAAGTTCCACATAAAATTAATCAACTCAACAAAACTCAAAAACACTACTGAAAGAGACACAAACTTTTCACTATCCACAAACATTAGGAATAAAATCTTTTGTATGTTATCGACTCAATACTAAATCTAGAATTACAGTCAGTTCTTTGTATCTGGGGTTTCCAAATCTGTAGATTTGACCAACTATGAAAATATTCAGGAAAAAAGTTGAGACTCTACAGAACATGTACAGATTTTTTTTTGTCATCTCTCACTTTACAATACAATATAACAACTATTTACATAGCATTTATATTTTATTAGGTATTATAAACAATGTAGAGATTAAAGTATTCAGGAGAATGTGCATGGTGCTGTGGCATTTTATGTACTGGACTTGATACTCTAGTTTTTTGTTTTTTTTTGGTGCTAGGAATTGAACCCAGGACTTCAAGCATACTAGGCAAGCTCTCTACCATGAGACTATATCCCAGCCCCTGTACTAGACTTGAGCATTTGTTGATTTTGGAATCTGAAGGGGGCCCTGGAACCAATTCTCCATGGGTAATGAAAGATGATTTTATTAGTTACAGCTGATTTTATTAGTTTACGTTAGTATTTTTTTCTTAAGTATTTGAGGATCCCCAATTAGTAGGACTTAACTAGGAAAGAAATCAAATCTTGTTCACTATGAATCTTTTGTTATTCAATTAGATGTGGTGGGGGAGGATACCAAGGTCAGAATAAAAATCAACAATCTGAACTAATGTGGAGAAAAGTTGAAACAATGTCAATTTGACAAAATGATTAATGTCAATATTTACAATTTACAAAATTGGATTCCCACTTTGTTAATACCTGTCAGAGCCCAGAATAAAAATAAGAACGTAGAACTTAGCTACACTTCAAGTACATTCAGTAAACTACAAATTAACTTGTGCAAAGATTTAAAACATTTTTATGTTCTGATTTACATATAATACACATTAATAGCAAGGTTGTTGCACTGGATGATATTCTCTGAATCTATGAGATGCATAGAAACCAGGAAATTGTTCACTGAAGAGAATTAGGGAGATGTAGGAAAGAAAAAGGAAAAAAAAAACCCTTTATACTCAGAAAACCATTATGCATATGCTTTAATAAAATTTGAATATCTGATAATATGGAGAATTACAAAAACAAAGCCCCACAGTGTGAACTGAACATATCTCCTATCAATATTAGTTACTAATGACTAAACGTATGAATGACAGACTTGTTTGCATATTATTACTAAAAGACTACCCCGGTATCTCCTCCCCTGTCTTTTTATGGTGCTGGGTTGAACCAAGGGCTTCACAAATGCTAGGTAAGCACTCTATCATGGAGCCATATTCCCCAGTCCCCAGTTTATTATAGTTTTTAAAAATTTATTTTTGACTCAGTAGTACATTTATATTATTAAAAATTTATAGTATAAAAAAGGTATACCAAACTTTCTCCTTCCAAACCTTCCATTTGTCACAACTCAGATGTTTCCTTCCCATAAAGCAATTTAAGTATCCTTCACCAAAAACATTCTTCACAAATACAATTAAATTCTGTGTGTGTATGCACACATAGCATGGATATATAATGTTTTGTACTTAAAATGTCTTGAATACCTTGGACTTTCAAATCTATTTCATTGATCTACATGCCTAGTCTTGCGCCAGTACTGCACTATCCTGATTAGCATTACTTAATAATAAGTTTTGAAATCTAGAAGTGGGAGTCCTCCAATTTGTTCTCCTTCTCATGTCTCATTCACTTTCATTAATACTTCTGACTTTTTTTCTTATACAGAGAAAGTCCACTTATGGTATTTAAAATACTTTTCAAGACATTTTTCACATAATCTCAAAAGAACGTCACATAACTGTTGTATAAAAAAGTATACTACCTATGACAAATAAGTAAAGAGGCCTAGAGAGTTTACATAACTCACTTAAGGTAAAATAGCAGATCAGCCCTAAAAATAGATACTGAATGCTATAAGTCTATATATCGGAAATTGTGGAATGCACTGGGATTAAAAACAAATCAATGAGATGAAAGTGCTTGCCCTCTAGAAGGTTATAGACTAGTTCAATGGTCCTCAACAACTTTACTCAAATACTGTCTGTAAGAACTTTGGGAACTTGGCAACTATACTAAAAATTTTCATTCAACATAGTACTAGAACTCCTAGCCAGAGCAATTAGGCAAGAAGAAAAAATAAAAGGAATACAAATAGGTAAAGAAACTGTTAAAATATCTCTATTTACAGATGATATGATCCTACCTCAAAACTCCTAGACACCATCAATAGCTATGGCAAGGCAGCAGGATATAAAATCAACATACAAAAATCATGAACTTTTCTATACACTAATAATGAACAAACTGAGAAAGAATATATGAAAACAATTCCATTTACAATAACCTCAAAAAAAAAAAAATCAAATACCTAGGAGTAAACTTAACAAAGGATGTGAATGACCTTTACAAGGAGAACTACAAACCCCTGAAGAAAGAGACTGAGGAAGACTACAGAAGATGGAAAGATCTCCCATGCTCATGGATTGGTAGAATCAACATAGCAAAAATGGCTATACTACCAAAAGCAATCTACATGTTTAATGCAATTCTCATCAAAATCCCAATGACATTCATCACAGAGTTTGAAAAATCTACCCTAAAATTCATTTGGAAACACAAGAGACTGTGAATAGCCAAGGCAATACTCAGGAAAAGAACAATACTGGAGGTATCACAATACCCGACTTCAAACTATATTACAAAGCAACAGCAATAAAAACAGCATGGTACTGGCACAAAAACAGACATGAAGACCAGTGGAACAGAATAGAGGACCCGGATATGAATCCACACAGCTATGCCCACCTTATTTTTGACAAAGGCACTAAAAATGTATGATGGAGAAAAGACAGCCTCTTCAACAAATGTTGTTGGAAAAAGTGGTTAGCTGTCTGCAAAAAACTGAAACTAGATCCATGTTTATCACCCTGTACTAGTATCAACTCAAAATGGATCAAGGACCTTAATATCAGACTCAAAACTCTAAAGTTGGTACAGGAAAGGGTAGGAAACACTTTGGAAGTAATAGGTATAGGCAAGGACTTCCTCAATAGAACCCCAGCAGCTCAGCAACTAAGAGAAAGTATAGTCAAATGGGACTTCATAAAACTAAAAGCTCTGCACAACAAAAGAAATGGTCTCTAAACTAAAGGTACCACGCACAGAGTGGGAGAAAATATTTGCCAGCTATACATCAGACAAAGTACTGATAACCAGAATATATAGGGAACTTAAAAAACTAAACTCTCCCAAAATTAATGAACCAATAAAGAAATGGGCAACTGAACTAAACAGAACTTTCTCAATAGAAGAAATTCAAATGGCCAAAAAACACATGAAAAAATGCTCACCATCTCTGGCCATAAAGGAAATGCAAATCAAAACCACACTAAGATTTCACCTCACCCCTGTTAGAATAGAAATTACCAAAAACACCACTACCAACAGGTGTTGGTGAGGATGTGGAGAAAAAGGAACCCTCATACACTGCTGGTGGGAATGCAAACTAGTGCAAGCACTTTGGAAAAAAAATTGGAGTCTTCTTAAAAATCTAAACATAGACCTGCCTATGATCCAGCAATCCCACTCCTGGGGATATACCCAAAGGAATGTGACACAGGTTATTCCAGAGGCACTTGCACACCCATGTTTATTGCAGTACTACTCACAATAGCCAAGTTATGGAAACAGCCAAGATGCCCCACTACTGACGAATGGATTAAGAAAATGTGGTATTTATACACAACGGAATTCTACTCAGCCAAGAAGAAGAATGAAATCTTATCATTCGCAAGTAAATGGATGGAACTGGAGAACATCATTCTGAGCGAGGTTAGCCAGGCTCAGAAGACCAAAAATCGTATGTTCTCCCTCATATGTGGGTTTTAGATCTGGGGCAAATACAGCAATGTGATTGGACTTGTGTCACATGGATAAGGCGAGAGCACACACAGGAGGTATGGGGATAGGTAAGAAACCCAAAGAACATGATAGTATTTGATGTCCTCAATGCAGAGGAACTAATACAGAAACTTTAAAGCGAAAGAGGTCAATAGGAGAAGGGGATCAGGAACTAGAGAAAAAGTTGGTTTGAGAAGAATCTACTTAGAATATAACACATTTGTACATGGAAGCATGGCTGGAATCTCCCTGTAAAGCTATTGTTATCTCAACTAGCAAAAATGCTTTGTCTTTCTTACTATTGTTTATACTCTCTCTTCAACAAAATTAGAGATAAGGGCAGGAACAGTTTCTGCCTGGAAACGAGGGGGTAGGGGAGAGAGGGAGGGTGCTGGGGTGGGGGAGAGGGGGAGAAATGGCCCAAACACTGTATGCACATATGAATAAACAAAAAAAAAATAAAAATTTTCATACTAATAATTTAGATGGTTGCCAAGGGTATAATTTCTAATGTAATGTGTTATATGTCTGCTTTAAATATATTTTTGTCAAAATTTAGAAGTTATAGATTTGGCTTATTCAATATATATTAAATGTTTTTAAGCTATTAGTTTTATGACAAATCAATTAGCCACTTTAGATTCATTTTCTGTTAGAGCATAACTGACATTTCCTTTTTTAAATTCAAATAAACATTAACAAAAATCTCTATGACAAATACCCAACTTTTGAGTTATTAATTTTAAAATAGACTTAATAGTATGGGAACCTGGACATGAGTTGTTGCAAGAACAACACAAATGTAACCTTTTTCCACATTTTTTGCTTTGCTCTCAGAGACTCTCACTTAAGTGAACACTCCCTTTTCTTTGGTACTAGGATTTGAACTCAGAGCCTCCTTCTTGAGCCACAATCCCAGTTCCTGAGAATGCCCTCTTGAACTATTCCTTTAGTTGGTGCCAACTTCCCTGGAACAAGGCATATTTGGTGGGTGTGTGAGCAATATGCCTAATAAAAGTAGAAGAACATAAAAAGAGCAGCAAGAGAGTACAGGCAGGTCCTCTCGTGTTAGTTATTAGTAAAGCTGAGATCTGGAAACTAATTTCTCCTAAACAAAGTATGCCATGTGCCCCTGGAAAGCCAATGTATAGCACTAAGGTTTGAGCTTGAAGATTACAATTCTAGTGGTCATGGCTATAAGGAAAATCTGGATATTCTAAACCTCTGAGTTTAACACTTTTTGACAATACACTAAGACTTTCACGGATTTATTCTACCCAAGTTTTGATCAAGCACAGTCAAAATAAACAAAGAAAAAAATCAAAAGAAATTCCAAAACTAAAAATTTTAAATTCCCCCCATATGCATTATGCAGCTCAGTTGATGTGGAGAAGCTTTCAGTCAGTCACATGTTATCATCAGTTGTGTTTAGATCACTGTATATCTACTGAGTGTTTCCCTGCCCTTAATTTGTGAAAATATGACTCCCAAAAAACAAATGCTGTCCCAAGAGCAAGGAAAAAGTGAATGTGCTTAATTTAAGTAAAAAATTTTAGATTTATTGAAAGGTGGTATGTCTTTAGCAGAAGGTGGGTAGTGTTAAGGGAAAATGGATCAAGCACATGCAGTACAGTGCTGAACTCTATTCATCCTGAGCATTTGCAGTTTCTCCTCAACAGCAATCTCCTTGGAAACATATACCATGGACATCAAACATCCACTGTATATTGTCTCAAAAATCAGGCAACACTTTTCCTTTCAAAATCCCAACTGCTGCTGTATTTGCAGATAAAAGACAGAAATCACAAACCCATTGTTAAGTTGCAGAGACATAAGAAGCTGAAGAGAAAAAGAAATTCCCCTGCTTACAAACATAGGTTCCGTATCTATGGATTTTAATTAACCATAGATGGAAAATTTAAAAAAGCATGTATCTATACTGGACATTTTTTGTCATTATTTCTTAAACAAACAAACAAACAAAAAACCAACCAGTTCTATAGCATTTACATTAGGTATTACAAGTAATCTAGAGATGATTTAAACTATACAGGAGGATATGTGTAAGTTATATTCAAATAACTCCACTGTTTTATATAAGAGTCTTGGGCATCTTTGGATTATGATATCTGCAGGGTGATCATGGAGCTATCCCTCAGGGATACCTAGGGATGACTATAAAATGACATTTGGTAAAATTCAAAAACAATACCTCCCAACCAAGACCAGCTACAAAATCTTCATATGCTTGACTTCCCCCTGTGTTGGTAAGAATGGAGTGTTTGTCTTCTTGTCCTTCAGCAACATAAAATACTGCAATCTTGTGTGTCTCTCGGCTATAAAACAAAATATTATACCATTTAATCATTCATTTATCTGTGCATTCATCTAATAATTAAGTTCTATGCACAAAGTATATAATAATAAAAAGATGAAAATGACCTAGATATTATAGTGTACAGTAGACAAGTAAATTCTTTACAATATAAAGAATTATAAAAGCAACAAAACTGCCATGAGAACAGAAGAAAGGCATGATTACTTTTGACTAGAAAAACAGAGAGTAACTTAAAAGAGAAAGTTCCATTGAGATAGGTGAAGCCAAGAAAGTGTTGACAAATGAAGAGTATGAGGAAGGACAGATAAATGTGAATGTATGAAGCATCTGTAGAGTTGTGTGTTGTGCAATGTGATTGAGTCTTAGGGTTAAAGGGACTGCTTCAGAACTAAGCAGAAGTAGAGATGAGTGAGAAATTATGTGTGTGTTCCTTCACAGTAGACACAATACAGAAAACACAGAAGAACATATATACTAACATAAAACCATATGAATTAATTGCAAGTTCTTGGATATTTTACTTTTAGTTCCCTCTAATTTATTTATTTATTTTTTTGAGACAGTTTTGCTATGTAACCCAGATTGGCATGAATTCGTGATCCTCCTGCCTCAGCCTCTTGAGTGCTAGGGTTACAGGTGTGTATTACCACACTCAGGTTGTAAATTTAAAAGCATTCATAAAAGCGAGTTTTTTGGTAAGAAATTTGGCTATCCAAGCTAATTAGGGCAGAATATGTCTACTGACTTAACAAGCATGGTTGACAAATTTTATGAGCAGAAGTAAAAGTTTTCATTACTACGTCATGTAGAAATTAAAAAAAAACAAATAGAGGTTAGCTTATGTAACTACCACTTGTTGGCTTTTGGGATCTCTCAGGACTATATGATTTTTTTCTGGGCTACTTTGGAAAACATTTTGATGCCTCAGCATACTGCCTATGGACCCACTGTAAACCCTTAACCCAACCTTGACCATGGAGTCTTTTTGGATGTCCTATGAAAAAAATTTCCCCAAAGACTTAGAAGGTCCAACCCAAGCATCTGAAACAAGTGAAAGGAGACCAGAAGGGGCTTTCCCTATGGGCAGAGGAGTCCAGATGTTATCCACACTGAAAGAATGGCTGGCAAACTGAGATATGAGCAACAAGTATTCTAGCTTAAAGGAGAAGAGATGGTCTTAAAGGAGATCACATGAATCAAGAAGTATGCCATTCATGTGTACCTGGAGTTACCGCATATATCATGGATGGGATCCTCCTGAGAATGGTAGAATGATTATGACAGAGAGTCAATTTAGGCATAAATTGACTGGTAATTTAATGTTGAGAAAGCTACCCTATGCTAGACAGGCTGTATACCAATACTTTTGAATAATCTATGTTTGATATGAGTGTTGTGATTCTTTTGTATCTTAACCTTTTTTCTTTTTGGTGGTACTGGGGTTTGAACTCAGGGCCTCCCTCACACTTGTTAGGCAGGTGCTCTACTACTTGAGCCAAGCCACAGTCCCTTTTAGAATAATCTAGTATAAGCAGTAAAACATATTTTGGGGGTTGAGGGAACTTCTAGAATTGGAGAGTAAGGAGAACTTTTTCCCAAGTAAAAAACTTAACTGTTGAAAATGATTCTTTAAAAAAAGCATTCAGTTTTTGGATTTGTCCTAAAGGTACATAACAAACAAGGAAATATTTGTTCAAGAAAATCTGTAAAATCTTGGCAAGAGTGGTCTTTGCCATATGTGCCACAACTTGTTCCCTTATCCCACCCCCTCAGGTTCATGTTAGAGAAGTTTTGCCCTACTCAGTAGTTTTGCATTCTACTCAGGCCTACAAAAGAGAGATTCCTTTCTCCTCTAGCTCTCACTCTGGGGCTATGGTTTCATCCTGGAAGATGCAGGCTTCTGGTGGCACTTCTCATCTTTTCCCAGCTCCATGTTATAGAAGATCCATCCTAGAAAGTTGTAGATAAATGGGCCAGATCTCCCTTTCCTTATCTAGTCCCCTTTCTTAGAGCTGGTGGTTAAGGCTGAGGGCCCCAGCATTTCTCCTTCTAGCTTACTCAGAGGAGAAATGATGGAGAGTCTGTTAGCAGAAGCAAGCTAAGATCAGGGACTGCCAACCCTTCCCCAAGTATCCAATTATAGAGTCAGGGTGTCACTCCACATAAAGTCAATCCCGGACCCCTGCTTAGGTATAGTGGCAGACAGATACTGCCTAGGGTAAAATGCAGGTCATAAGGACAAAGAACTTTTAGTACTAGTTCTGCCTAAGGGGACTACCTGGAACAGAGTTTGGAATAAAGCTATTAGGAGAAGCTGCCAGCTCTATGACACAAAAAAGAAAAGCAGCAAGAAGTTTAACAGAACCAGGAAAAGATGCAGCCAAGAACAGCCTGTCTGGGATCACAGTCAATTCTGGAGGTCAAGAAGCCTGTGAACATGCACCAGGCTATATCTCATCAGGAGCAATTAGAATAAGATGTATGACAGACACATAGATCCATGAACATAGGTAAAGCCTCATAGGCACTGTAAGTCATGGTCAACCCCTAGGAAGCTAAGACTTAAAAATAATATCTAGTTACTCAAGGCAGTATGGAAATACGTGTGCAGCATGCCCAAGGCTGTATCTACATATCTCTTTATCTGTCTATATCTCTATCCATCTATCCATCCATCCATAATGGCTCCAAGCTATTAGTCCATGAGTGAGGATGGGACAAGAAAAACAGAAATATTCTGAACTGTGGTAACAGCTCCAAGCCATATACATACAACATTAAATAATGAAAATATAACTGGCTCAGAGGGTTCCACAAACCTTGAGCAAAAAGTAGGTGATATAAACCCAGAGAAGAACCCTCAATAGTTAAGCTAAGAGAAAAGCAAATAAACAAAAAAATCTGAGCAGGGAGATCAGAGGCTCACATTCTTGGGAAGCCAAATTGCTAGAAAATAAATGAACGAGCAAACAATGACCACTAACATACTTCTGATTCAAAGACAAAAATAAAGTTGAAAGTAAAAGGAATGGAAAAAGATATCATGCAAACAGCAATCAAATAAGCTGGAGTGGGTCTACTCTCAGACTAATAAGATAACATCAGAACAACAGACAAAAATCAATGAAACAAAAGATATTTTCTTTAAGATGATCAATAAAATTGACAACTTTTAGCTACACTGAGCATGAATCACATCACTAAAACCTGAAATGAAAGAAGAGATATCATTACATACTTTACAGAAATAAAAAGTATAAGAAAATACTATGAACAACTGTATGCCAATAAAAAAGGCAAATTCTTAGAAAGACACAAAATTACTAAAATTAACCAGATTGAATATCTGCATAGATCTATAACTAGTAAAGACCTGGGTTTAAAAATGTGATTGGGAAGGAAGAATAAAAATATTCCCACTTACAGATGCTATTTTACATATAGAAAATCCTAAAGAATTCACTAGAAAGCTATTAGAGGTAATAAACGAGTTCAGTAAGGTTGAAGGATACAAGATCCATATATAAGAAATCAGCTGCATTTCTATACACTAGCAACAAATAATCCAAAAACAAAATTAAGAAAAATTTTCTTTTATAAAGGCATAAAAAATAAAATACTTAGGTATAAATTTAACAAGTGTATAACTTACTCTTGGAAAACTACATTGTTGAAAGAAATTAAAGACCTAAATAAAATAAACCTCTAACATTCATGGACTGATAGACTTAATATTGTTAAGATGATGGTACTTCCTAAATTGATTCAATGCAATAAAATAATATATAATAATACAGTATGTATAAATAATTGTATTAAAGCAAAAAAACAGACTTAACATAACCCCTATTGAAACCCAAGTTCCTTGCAGAAATCCTAAAATACAACAGACTAGAATAGAAAAACAATCTTAAGAAAGAATAAAGATGGAAGGCTCATACTTACTCATACTCTCAAAACTTACTTCAAAAGAAATCAAAGCACTGTGTGCAGTACTGCCATAATGATAAGAATCATATGTCTATAAGTAAACTCTTTAAATGTTTTTGATAATGGTACCAAGACAATTCAATGGGGGGAAAGAATAATTTCTTCAACAAATGGTGCTGGGACAACTAGCTATCTACATGCAGAAGAATGAACTTGGATTCTTAAGCCACCCATAATGAAAATGGATCATAGATTGAAACTCTTAAAGAAAACATAGGACCTTTATTAGGGAAGATCTTCTTAGGTACAATATGAAAAGTACAAGTGACAATTAAAAAAATAGACAAATTTGGACTTCATCAAAATTAGAAATTTTTATTCAAGTGTCTGTAATCCTAGCTATTCAAAAGACAGAGACTGGGAAGACCATGGTTTGAGGGCAGCCTAGAAAAAAGCTCATGAGACACTATTTCAACCAATAAAAGTTGGGCATGGTGGCATGTGCCTGTCATTCCAGCTATTCAGAAGCACAAATAGGATTGCGGTCCAGGATGGGCTGGGCATAATGTGAGATCCTATCTCAAAAATAACCAATGTAAAAAGGGCTGTGGGAGTCACTCAAGAGGTAGAGTACCTGTGTAGAAAGCATGAGGCCCTGAGTTCAATTCCAAGTACTGAAAAAAAAAAAAAAAAGTAACCCAAAATTATAAACTTTTGTGCTATAGGTAATACAATAGTATGAATAGACATGAAAACCTATAGAATGAAAGTATTTGTAAATAATAATTGCTATGGGCCATATATCCAAAAATGTATAAGAAGCTCTTACAAATCAATACTAAAAAGATAACACACAGAATTCTGTGTTTGTTGCCTGGAGCTTTTATAACAAATCACACAAACAACGTGGCTTTAAATAAGAGAAATTTATTCTCTTACAGTTCTAGCTACTAGGAGGTCAGAAATAAGTGTTATACTGCCATGCTCTCTCTGACGGCTCTAGAGGGAGAATCCTTCCTCGTATTTTCCTGGCTTCCAGTGGTTGTTGATAATCCTCAGCATTCCTTAGCTTCTAGCTGTCTTACTGTAACTTCTGCATGGCCACCTGACTTCTGTGTGAATGTGTCTATGCATCTTCAAGTGGCCTTCTTATAAAGACACTAGTCATCAGATTTAGGAGTTGATCTAATCTAATATGACCTCACTTTAACTAATTACATCTACAACCTTATTTCCAAATTTTACCCTGAGATGCTGATAGGCATGGAATTTTAAGGAGATACTATTGAATGCTGTACAAATTTGAATACTTTCCCCCCCAAAAGTATACAAATGGCCATTAAACGCTGAAAAAAAATGCCAAACATTAAAAGTTATTTGGAAAATGCAAATCAAAATCACAAGATACTACTTCATATCCACTGAGATAAAAATCAAAAGACAGCTGGGGATGTAGCTCAGTGGTTGAGTGTTTGCCTAGCATGCACAAAGTTCTGGGTTTGATCCCCAGTACTGCCAAGAAAAAGAAAGAAAATTAAAAGAAAGATAATAACAAGTATGCTATGATATGGAGAATGTAGAATACTAATACATTGTTGGTACGAATGTAAAATGTTACTGTACAAAACAATCTGGCAGTTCCTCAAAAATGTTAAATAAAGAATTATTGTATCACCCAGCAGCCATTCTATTTCTAAGTATATACACAGGAAACTAAAATATGTCCATATAAAAAATGTACAAAATGTCAAAAGACTAGGCAGGGTTTATTCAAAAAACACAAAGATTATTTAACATTACCAATATAGTGATACTAAAATGCAATATACATCCATTAAGAAATAAAAACTATGCCAGACCTGAATAGATCATAAAAAGAATTTTGATAACATTTAACACCATTTCTTTTATAAAGACTCCTAGAAGCCAGACTACTTTCTCAGCATGAAAAAAATTATGTATTTCAAACCACAACCAGTATCTCCCTTAATGATGAAAAGGAAGAATTGTTTCCATTATAATCGGGAAAGATGAGGATGTCTACTATTTAACTATACTACTTAACACTATCCTGAAAGTTCTATTCAGTGCAATGTAATTTGAAATAAGTGAAAACTGGTGTAACTACTAGAAAGGAGATTATCTGCAGATAATGATTATATACCTAAAACAAATTTTAAGAGAGACACAACTATAAAATATTTAAAATCAGTAAGAGAGTTCACTACTGTGTTTAGATACAAGATAAATATTAAAAATGGGGAAACCCCAAAGATATAACTGGGAGGAAAATTCTATTCAGAATAGCAACAAAATAATAAAACACCTAGGAATTACCCATAAAAGCAATGTTTAGGCCTTGGAATAAATAGAACGACACAGCATGATTAGGAATGGAAAAAATGATTACAATTAGTGCCTTTTCTTTCCACAGAAATTTTATTGAAAACTTAATCAAAATACTAAAGGGATTTTTCCCCCCTGGAAAACAACAGCACAATTCTAAGTCTCCAAAAGGATAAACAGGTTAGAATACTAAAGAAAAGAAGAAGGGCAGAGAGGCGGATGAGGAGGGCAGAGAATGGGGATGATCTAACCAATGCACAATATAAGCCTAACTGGAATTGTCATTATGAATTCACCCCCCTGCCCCCGTATAACAAACATATCCTAATAAAAAAGAAAAAGAAAAAGAAGAATAATGTGTGTAGAGGGGTTGAGGAAGAAGACTGCTAGAGATTAAAATGTATAATAAAGCTGTAATAAATTAACAGTTACACAAAAAACAACAAATACATCAACAGAAATACAGACAGCTTTGAAGGAGACAGCTTAATATTTGGTAAGGAGACATAAATCAATGGGACATTTGGTATGTGTTAATTAAACAAATTAAATCTAGGTAGACTTTTTAGGTTTTGTTTTTTATGGTACTGGGTTTTAAATGCAGAACACCGCACTTGCTAGGCACTCTACCACTTGAGTCATACCTCCAGCCCAAGTGAAGTTCTGCTTTCTACTAGTGTCAAATGGTTGTCATGTCATGTACAAGAAATTATAGACTATTCTCCAACATTCAACATTCAAACTAGTTCCAGTTCTCATTCCATAACTGAAAATGTATTCCAGAAGAAATAAAGAATGAAATGTAAAATAGTCACCACCTCAACCAAATAAAGACCCGTAATGAAATATAGTGGGATATTTAGCTGACTTCAATACACAACTATCTACACAACAACTAAGGAAATCCAAAGGAAAGTACTGGGAGATATTACTGCATAAAAATGAAAAGACTATATGTTAATCTGAAGGTGAAAACTGAGAGCTAAACAACTTCCACAAATAGTACAATCTTTAACACACAACACACACACACACACACACACACACACACACACACACACACAATGTTATTACAATTAAGAAAAATTCGCAGAGTGGCACCAGTGGCTCAAACCTGTAATCTTAGCTACTTGGGAATCTGAGATCAGGAGAACTGCAGTTTAAGGCCAGCCTAGGCAAATACTTCTGAAACCCCATCTCAATCGACAGCTGGGTGCAGTGGCAGGTGACTGACATCCCAAGCTATGCAAGAGGTTGAGATTGGGAGATTGTGGTTCTAGGCCAATTCTGGCAAAAAACTTTTTGGGACTGTCATGTTAATGGAAACTGGGAGTGATGGCTCATGCCTAGGAAGCTTAAAATAGGAGGATCATAATTGAGGCCAGCCTGGGTAAAAAGCAAAACCCTGTCTCCAAAATAACCAGAGTAAAATGGGCTGGGAGCAAGGTTTAAGCTTGTGAGGTTTAAGAGTGCCTGCCTCACAAGCATGAAGTCCCAAATTCAAATCCTGGTGCCAGGAAAAAAAAATTCCTAAAGAGAAACAAAAAGAATGCAAAAAGACAACTGGAAATAGATTAAAAATTCATATAAATATATGAAACAAATGCTAGGCAAGCACTTGATCAATGATTTATACCCCAGTCCAATATATGAAAAATATTAACTTCATCAGTAATACAGAAACAAAAATTAGGCTGGGTATAGTATTACACATCTATAATCCTAGCACTTGGTGACTAAGGCAGGAGAATCATGAGTTTGAGGCCAGCCTGGGCTGTAAATATTAAAGAGATACTATAATATGTCTCTCAAGCTCAAGCAATAGCAATTGATAAACTATGATTATTATCCTGTGCTGGTCAGATTAAAGTTATATACAATGTTGGTGGAATTATAAATTATTATTTAATAGAAAACAATTTTGTAATATATATGGCATGAAATTTTATGTTTTAACCTAATAATTGTATTCTTAAAAATCAATCAGGAGCAATTGTAATGTTTAATAACCCCAGAACCTGGTACCATAAGAGATTATTTTTTGATAAATAACTTTTAAATGACTAAGAAAGATGCTCACAATATAACAAAAGTACAAAAAGGATACCAGTATATGTGATGCTATGATGTCAGTTTTATAAAAACCAAAGTATGTCATTCAAAACAGAAAGACTGAAAATATTCATAATAATGTTATAAAATATGGATTATTTTTGTTTTGTATTTTCTATAACAACAACAACAACAAAAAACCCTGAAAATCATTTTAAAAAGATCTTTCTGAGGAAAGCTAAAGGCCTCACAACAAATCCAGTTAGTAGTTTAGGAAGTGAGTAATGATGATATTTTTTCATAAACTTGGTAGCAAAAGGTATAAGATGAAAGCAACTGAGGAAATACTTGTTTCTTGACTAGTTTTATTTAAGACAGATAACATGTTTACGGCAGGAGGAGCAAGTAGAAATATAAGATAAAAAGATTGCTTTTTTGAAGATCTTAAAGCAGGCAGAAAAAATGAAAAGCAAAGAAATACAGTTAGGAACAAAAAGACAACTTTTCTGAAAAAAAGGTGAGCAAGAAAGATGGTTAAACATAGAAATTTTACAGAAGAGAGGAAGACATGGAATTGTTTTGTGTGGAAAAAGCCAGAATCACCTTTCTCACTTTGTATTCCTGTGCAATAGTAGGTGGTTTATTCTAAACTAGCTTTCCAATTCCATTAGAAAAACTAGATTTAATGAATGATGTATGACTAATGTTTGCCTAAGTGTGGGAAAAAACATCTAAAGACATTTCACAGGTTCAATTAGTTTTCTGTGATTCAAGAGATTACTGTGAAATGCATATAAAGGGTATAAACAATTCAAATATACCAAACATCTTAAGGCGTTCTAACTTTTCTCAAAAGATTAAATTATCATTTCTAAGATATAAGTGAAATAGTTTCTCTTGAGAAAGTTGTAACTCAATAATGCTCTTCACAGTGTTATTCTAAACAGAGAAAGTGCTGAGAGTTGCTAGTTATAAATGTGAAGGTTTTCTAACAACTTACCACTGCCTTGAATCCAAGTTCTTAAGTTCTCTAAGTAGCTTTTCATTTTTCTTCAGGAGATGAAAGCTCCTCCTAAATAGAGAGATTTATAAATATTCCATCACCATGTCTGTTCTGAGCACTCCAAACTCATAACCAGAGAAATGGATACAAGTACCTGCAGGAATCTGCTTACTTCATTGTTTTATATTTTATGTATTTTTTAAGTCATGAAGAAATATGTAATTTTTATCATCTGAGTGCTAAATGTGCCCATAAAATCAAAGCTTGCTGTGGTAAAATATAGCTTTCCATCATTAGCTTTTCTTATTAGACAACACATAGCTCATTCCATAGCAAGAGACTATAATGCATTTATACGATAACTGAGTAACAATTACCTATATTTGGCCATACCATAAGGCAAACTGTCCTCCTGATATAAAGGGGTTTGGGCAGAGGACTCTGCCTAATGAAAGGGTTTAAATCAAGTGAGAATATGAACACTAAGCAAGCATGAGAGTATACTACCACTTTAATGTTTCACATGCAATTTGAATTATTTTAAGATTTATTCAGCCAGTGATATCTGAGCTTCCTCCTCCTACTATAAATTGAATAGAAATGGCACATTAAATAATACTTCTTCCACTTTCCTATAGCTTTTCACAGCATAGGAATTAAAAACACAATGTAGGAGATGTAGCTCAGTGGTAGAGATTGTGCTTTAGCATGTGCAAGGTCCTGGGTTCAATTTCTACTACGAAAACCAAAATCAAAATAAACAAAAACCCCCAACAAAACCTACATGCATATCAACAGTGGTTTATACTAATGTAAAATCTTACTGTTTTATATACTATACTTAATTCTCTCCACTATATGAGGTAGGAATTATTTTCAATTTGTAGACTGTGGCCAACTCAAAGGTTAAATGTCTCTCAACCAGGAGTTTTAAGTCCAATGCTCTTTTCATTTAATCCTACTTAACTTACTGGAATACGTGTGTTCATAGTACAAGTTTTATTTATTTTTTGGTGCTAGGGTTGAATCGAAGGACTCTACTATACTGAGCTATGCTCCCAGCCTGGTAAGTTTTTAATAAGGTTTTGAAACATACATAAGAAAACAAAATAGCAAGAAAAAAAGGTTTAGATTCTTTCTTTGATTTGACTCTGAATTTTGAGTTAATTTCCCTAGTTCAAAGGAGAAATGATCACTTGATGGTTGATCTAAAACAATTCTTATGCTTACATGAAGGCTGAAAAAATAAGATTTTTGTTCCTATCATGTGAGCTATAATTTCTTTTTTGGGGGGGAGGGTAAGACTGGGCTTTGTACTCAGGGCTTCATGCTTGCAAAGAAGGCACTCTACCACTTGAGCCTCCATGTCTTCATATGAGCTAAGTCAGATAGTTCTAGTAGTCTCCTGAAATGTTAATAGTTTACTGGATTAAATTATTTTTTTTATTTTCCCGAATCTTAATATAAATCAGCGGTCTCAAAAAAATTTGCCTACTGATCAAAGAACTAATCTGTTAATAAAATTTAGTGAGGAAAAGAACAGAGGCTAAAATCCTTGCTCAGAAAATGAGTAAGACTAGTATTACAAGAAAGGAAATTTTTTTTTCCTTTTTTTCCTTACCGTTTGTCCCAGGAATTCATTCCCAATATACTAAGAAGCAATCTGCAATAATAAAATGCTGACTGAGGTTTTTGAGGCATTGGTTCATCTTGTTCCATAGCTTTCATGTTTAAGTCATTAAAGTGCTTCTCAACAAATTCTTTTTCCTCTGTATGCTGCTTAAGGATAGCATTAATAACATCATTTTCTTGTTTTTCAGAAATGCACACAGGTTGTGGAGCAGGAATATTAAGTGAGATTCCAGTTCTCTGTAAGCATTCAGGACTAGTAACACCCAAATACTGCAAAAGCTCATCAAGAACATCTTCTTCATCCCTTATTGTATCCCAAGTTGGTACAGTTTCTCTAAGCCTTTTAAACTGCAAAGAAAGTCCATCTTTTACTGTTGTATCTTCTGAGCATTCATTAGATGTAGGAGACTCTTCTAGCTTCTCTTGGTGAGTCAATGACAGTATGAAAGATGCAGGTTCTGAAAAGCTGCTTACAGGAGGTGGTCCATACAGTATGGCAGAATCCCATGAGTATTTTCCAGAGAGATCCCGTACTATGATTCTGACATTTGAATTAGCTGATGCAAGGCCAGCAGATAACCCTCCGCCAGGCATACTTTCTTCTTCTGATCTGATCTGGATACAAGACACTAAGGTCGCATTGTTCAACACGAAGAACTGGATATTTGGACTCTCAAAGAGTTCAGGAGAAAGTTCTGTACTTTCACTGTAATGATTGTCATGATTTTCACACACCTGACTTGTTAGCATAGCAGGACCACCACTCATTGGATAATGGCCCAAGTGATTTACCAGATGGGTAATAACAGTGCGGGCTGCTATGGAGATTAATCCTTGCTGCATTTGAGTTTTCACTGGAAATAAGAAACATAAATGAGTGGGAATACTGCTGCATTCTAGAAGTCATAAAATCAATGAAATATTAGGTAAGGAACAGGAATTTCAAACACTTGAATAAATATTAATTTTCCAATTTAGATTCCATATTATGGGAACAGTGGCAAAGTTTTGTTCATTTTTTAAGAAAGGCTTTTTGAAATTTTTGCTAGTGGATTCATAATTTAAAACAAAGCCTTTAAATGCAGTTCAATTTGAAAGATCAAAATATTATAAATTAACCACTCTAAACACAGATCAAAGGGCCAATGAAATATCCAACTGATAAGTTTCTTATCTCATGAATAGATTCCCGATTCAGAGACATAGTTTGCAGCATCCTTCAAGTGTCCTTTAATTCTGACTTTTATTGATGAAGTAAAAGTGTTTTATAGAAAAGTGACATCCCAATTAAAGTTCGGGAATTAGAATGAATTTAAACAATGAATCAGTGTAGTCAAGTATATACCAATGAAACTTTATTTTAAAGGCAAATGAGTTGATGGTCCTGCTTATGTATTGTAGTTTCCTAAGGAATTCTTTTGGGTCAATGTATTCAGTCTAAAAGTATGCAAAAAGCATGTTTTTCCTTTCCTAAGCACATTAGCAAAAACAAACAGATCAGCACATTTATATAAGTAATTTAGAAGTCATATGAAAGAGTAAAATAAGAAAAAAAGAAAAGAATTCAAAAGGATAGTTGTTTGAGAGGCATAGAAAGGCAAGTTTTGTTAGGATCTTAAGGAAGGGAGGGGAGAAGCAAGACAGAGGACACTGACAGTGAAAGGGAGAAGGAGAAAGGCAAAACCAACTAGTTAAATACTGCTGTGATTCAAACCAGTTCTGGACTGAGTGGTATCAGGAAGCAGAGACAAGGGATTGATATTTTTTATTTAAGAAGTTGAGAGGACAGTTGTCACTGGTAAAGATGTATTAGTAATTCATGTCAGAAGAGGATGCTTACTTTGGGGCATGTTAGTGTTCTTGCCTCTATTTAGTTTTAGACATAATTACAGAGTGTTTCTGTATTACTCTACCACAGTCGCAAAATAATGTGTTACCAGTTACCAGTTGGGAATACTAGGACCTAGCTACCAGAATAAATATGGATTTGTCAAAATAGAGATTTGAGACCTTGGTCCATATCTGTGATCCCAGCTATTCTGGGGGTGGTGGCAGGAAGATCATGAGTTAGAGGCCCATTTCAAAAACAAAAGGGCTCAAGTGCAATTCAGGTAGAGTGCTTGTCTAGCAAATGTGAGGCCTAGATTCAATCCTTACCACTGCCAAGAAAAAAAAAAGATTTTAAAGAATGTCTGATTTACATACATAAAATCACCAATTTTTAAGTGTTTAGTTTAATGAGTTTAGGTAAATGTTCTATAATTACATAACCAACAACATAATAAATATGTAGGAAAAGTCCCTCATCAAAGAAAATACATTTATTTTATGTAAACTATACTTTGAGCCTAACTTTAAAAAAAAAAAAAGAGACTGGTTTGTGCACTGCTGTTATGATTTCTTTAAAAGAGGTGAGAACAGTGTGTTACATTAAGGTGCTAGTCCTCAAAATTCAGAACTAACACCACTGGGTAGAGGTTAAGGGTGAGCAACCAATCAACTGCCATGCCAAAACTAATTATGTATTTTTCAAGTATAAAAAAGAATAGTTTCCTTTAGGCTTTCATTGATTTTACAGTGTTCTTATCAAAAGTTTAATCTTCAGTAATTGGTTAAGTTTTATGTCTACATATGTATAAATATGAAGATTTCTTTCTTCTTTTTTTTTTTTTTCAGTATAAGAGTTTGAACTCAGGGCCTTGTTCTTGCTAGGCAGGCAACAGGCACTCTACCACCTAAGCCTGGAATATGAAGATTTCTTAGTTACTTAGTATACTGAGTTGTTTTAAAATTATGCTTATGTTAGTTCTGAAAATTAGCTGTTTAATGCTAGATGATAATACCAAATAATTAATCTCAATTTAATCCTCTATTTTCCAGACTCTAAACTGGATGATGAGAAATAAGGTTGGTATTAACCTAACGTCTGCTTTCTTTTCTCTAACTCAGAATACAATGAATGTTCACACTATCAGTGGATAATCTAGCAAGTGTTCCTCATTTTGCATATGAGGATAAATGACTCACAGAGTTAAATGATTTTACCTGCCTTCGATTTCACATCAAGGCTGATCTTTTGACTCTCAGCTCACTATTACTTCCCCCTTTACCATGAAACTAATGTCTGTACCTTTCCCTTTTGTTAAACTGCTGTTTGTGTGTGACATGTGGAAATCATGAATTTAAAATTTATTTATTCTGGGCATAGGAACTTCAAAAACAGTATTACTTAACATAAGTTATTAAAGAAATAGCCAGGACCAACTGAAAAAGCTCATCTAAATAGGATTAAATCATGTTTTAAATGGTAATGAAAGAGTAAAATTAACAACTTAAAATTTTTTATATAGGAAACTTTTTTCTATTCTTTACTCTCCCTGTTGAGTGATATGCTTAAATAGATGAATCTTCTTTGCAGATAATAAAGGTTTACATTCTGAAGAAAGGAAAGAGTCTAATTTAATAGAAATGACAACAAAGAAGGATTCACAGAAGAATCCCGCCCCTCTGGTTTGCCCTGTGATTGTGGACAAATCACACAGAACTTCTTAAACCTATTTTCTGTAAGAATAACACAAACTTATTTGTAAAGATAAATTCAAATCTCTTATGTTCAAAACTGGACATTAATAGACACAATATAAATCATTCAATTTTGAGAGCATTATAAGAAACCAGGTTGTTAAAAAACTAGCTAGCATTTGTTGCCCTTAATGCAGAGAAACTAAAGCAGATACCTTAAAGCAACTGAGGCCAATAGGAAAAGGGGACCAAGAACTAGAGAAAAGGTGAGCTCAAAAAGAATTAACCTAGAAGGTAACACCCACGCACAGGAAATCAATGTGAGTCAATGCCCTGTATAGCTATCCTTATCTCAACCAGCAAAACCCCTTGTTCCTTCCTATTATTGCTTATACTCTCTCTACAACAAAATTAGAGATAAGGGAAAAATAGTTTCTGCGGGGTATTGAGGGGGGGAGCGGGAGGGGGTGGAGTGGGTGGTAAGGGAGGGGGTGGGGGCAGGGGGGAGAAATGAACCAAGCCTTGTATGCACATATGAATAATAAAAGAAAAAAAAAAAAAGAAACCAGGTTGTGTAAGTTCTTTTTTTTCAAAACTTGCTTATAAACAAACACCAAAAACAAGCCAGCTCTTTCTCTAAAACATAACCCGCCAAGCCAAGGTAGTAGTTTATTCTATATGTCCTCTTCCCTTCAAGGGAAGACATGGGGGAATACAGTTTAAAAGGGGTTGTTCACACATAAATCTGTCATAACTATTAACACTGAAAATAGTTAAGATAAATTTAAATTTCAGAGGCAGGCAAAATAATTTTCTTTCCTAAACTGCTTCTCTAAATTCAGGATGTATGCATATGTATGAAAGGGTAAAAATCTTTCAACTTGTTAATTGGGCAATTAGGTGTAGATTTATTTTTGAGCAATAAACTATAGAACATACATCTTTCTCTTACACTTAGTTACTAAGATATAAAGAAGATGTGAAATTCTCTAATTTAAAAACTCAAAATGAAATTCTAAAATAAGCAGCCTTGTGAGAAAATGTAAAATGAAGATATCGATGCTTCCAAAGCTTTGTATAACTAGCATTCATTTAAATAAGTCTATTCAGGGTTGTCTTTTCAGATTGTCAGATTAAACAAACCCTGCAGCATTTGCAGCAAACCCATAATTACAGATTATTATGGCATACAAAAGCAGCAAGACATAAAAAGCTGCTGCAATTCACTGCACTGTAAAAGAACATGCAGAGGAAGTTAATTTTGGCAAATGCTTTAAATATTAGCTTTGTATAATATGTATAGGTGAAACTATAATTAGGGCAGAATGAATCCTTTGGTGCCTCCTTTCACTCTGACCTTGCAAATGATGACTTTTTGCTAATATGACTATTGCCATTTGACAAAAAGCCAACTTCACTACCTTGTCTTATTCTGTAATAAATTTAATAATTATAGCTACTCCTGCCAATAGTTCTCAAATCAGAAGTGTTCAATCCAATACTGAGCTGATTAGAGACAACCTATGTTTAGAATTCATTGGCCAAAAAAGCACTTGAAGATGATGAGGCATGCTTTAAACAATGGCACAAAGATCATTTTAGTCACATCAAAAACAAACACACAAAAAACCCCCAACAAACCCCAACCCCCCCCCCAAACTCCAAACCCACAGCATGTAGTCACTATAGACCAGAGAGACTTGCTGTTAGCTCACGGCTCTTCCTAAAAGATTCTGCACTTAACTGGTCCCTCAATGTTTTTGAGAAAGTCCAAAGAAAATAATTTAACATATTTATGGAATAATTGTACACAGAGTTTTTAGTATTAATATTAAGCTCATATTATAATATTTTCCTCTAGTTACTATAGTGTTTAAAGATGTACAGTAAATTTTGTATGAAATACATTAAAACTTTTTACACAAACTTCATTTATTGTACTGTTTTAAAAATACTGTCTTGAGCCAAATCATTATCATTTTATACCTTTAAATATACAAAGAATAATTAATCTTGTCATATAACTTTGTTCAGTAAAATAAGACTAATTTACTATGCAAATCTAGAGACAATTTTATACTGCCTATATGAATTATTGTCTAAATTCTTTCACTATGTTATTTTGTCAAGTATATCTCTTTCAGATCTGAGCAATAATTGAAATCTTATTTTCCTATTTCACTTGTGTATTTATGTTCTAGATAAACTATAAGCAACAGAGGCCAAAGAAAAGCCCTAGCCTCATTTCCTTAACTTCTAACTTTATCCCTTCACTTTTATTGTATGCCATCAGTCCATTGCCATGGTCATATTCTAGATTTTTAAATAATTTATAACTAGTCTATCTTTGAAAATAAAACTCTTTAATACAACCTCCTGGTCCAATGATTTCCCGATTGTGTTGTAAAATCCTTGGAGAAGGCCCTGGAAATTGTGAAGAGAGAGGCTGGAAGGTCACAGGGCTCCCTCTGCTGCAGCTCTACTTTTAAGCTTTATAAATTGGGCTTCCCTGTAAAATTTATTTGAAGAACTTTAGCTATCCAGAAAATCATTTTAAGAACTATGTCCTAATATATTGATTCTCTGTGGCTTTCAACCATCACTACACATTAGTTACAAGCGGAGCTTTAAAAAATCTCAGCAATCTTACATTAATACAACAAAATCTCTGTGGCTGGGAACAGAGCAGTAGTATATTCCAATATGTGGCTTATCCCAAGATCTACTGCTCTACTTATCACCATCAATATCTATTTTCTGCCTCTCTAGATCACTGTTTCCTTCTAATTCATTAGTTAACTCCTGGCAGCAGTTCAATTTTTACCATGCCTGGGTTCCATACCAATATTCTGAAGTCCATAGTTCCCTTGTATTTCTGCTATACCCACCTTACTAATTGTTGATTGGTGTAACGAAACTTTGTGGTTTCCATTTTCTATTGGGCTCTCAATAACTCCACTTAACTCTCTTAAATTTACCTCTCCTTTTCCTCTTCTTTCTCATCCTAGATGAAGGACTAATCCTATCACCAATATTTTCTAGCTCATTCTCTCAAGGACTTCACTATATTAACAATATCCTACCCACTTATTTCCTTCTCAGCTTACAAAACCCCTTAACCTTGAATTATCCTTAAGCTTACTTACTTTTTATTATTTTTCCTTTGTATTCTTTTTTTTTTTTTTTGGTGGTATTAGGGTTTGAACTCAGGACCTTGCACTTGCTTAGCAGGCATTTTGTCATTTGAGTCACACCCCAGGCCCCTATCTCCTCCCCTTCTTAAACAGTCAAGCTTCTTTAATGTGTACTTTTGGGCTGGGAATGTAGCTCCGTGGTAGAACATTTGCCTAGCATATGCAAAGTCTTAGGTTTAATCTCAAGTATCACACACACAAAAAAAGGTACTTTCTGTGAGATGGCTCTACTTCTTTATCTCCTGCTTCAACCCATACCCATTGACTTCTGCCTCCTACTTCTCTGCTGATAATAAAGCAGACATATTTCAGTTCTTTTGTACTGCTTTATCATTAACACTGTTGAACAGCCATTTTTGCTTTTTTTTTTTTTTAAAGATTTTTGCCTCTCTGGTTTCTGAGAATTACTCTCCTAATTTTCCTTTCTTTGCAACTTTTTCTTCTCAGAACCCACACACGTACATGTGTATGTGCATGCATGCATACATATCCCTAACAAAGATCTCCCAGCTAAGATTTAGATCTCTGCACACAAGTAATTATCCACTAGGTATGTTCACATGAATAGTCAAAAGACAGCCAAAGGAAACCACTTCCCACACTGTTCTCATTTCCCCTCCAAATCTGTACTCTTTTATATTTTTGTTGTGGTTTGGAGAAAGTCTAATCAATCCCTAACTCAGAATCTAACAAGCCAGAAACCTACTCTAAATTCCTCTTTTTTGTTGACCTGTCCCAAAAGCCTTTCCATACTTCTCAACTATATTTTTCCATTGGATTCCTACTACCATTCTTTAGAAACAAAAGAAAAAGTTTAAACAATTAGCAATTCTTGTTTGGCCTATTGTAACAGTCTCATGATTGGTCTCTCTCCTTCTGAGTTAACACTCCAAATCAATTACCAGGGATCAGCAAATTTTTTCTATAAAGGGCCAAAGAGTAAATATTTTCAATTTCATGGGCCACTTCATCTCTGTTGCTACTCAACACTGCTATTGTTAGGCAATAGCCAAGATGATACATAAAACAAGAATATATCACCTCCAAACCAGTTATAGAAACAGGTCTCTACTAATGGTCATAATTTACTGAATCCTATAAAATGTTTAAGTGCTCCTAATAGTAATTTGATTATGTTTCTTTCCTTCTTGTATATGTATATATATTTTGCTGGTGGTATTAGGGCTTGACCTTTGGGCTTCACTTACGGTTGTTATGTAAGTACTCTATGGTTTGAGCCATGCCCTAGACCTATACTTATGTTTTATGAATTTATTATGTTTAATTATTTATTTATATCTTTCTCTTAAATCAGAGGGTGTGGAGAGCGGAGTATGAGAAGCCTATGAGGACATAAGCACAGTTGTACTCAATATTCTGCAGGCTGAGTTCGGCAGTCCCAGTCGCAGAATAAGGAGAGAGTAATTGCAGAGCACCTCCTTTTCCTAAAATGTTTATGTCAAATAATCTGTAGGATGAGATTTGGCACAGCCCCAGCTGCAGAAGAGCTAGAAGGCAAGCTGTAGCTCATCTGCTTTTCCTAAGTTGTTTAATGCAGGTTTTTCCTATTACAATGTCACATCCCTCCTGGAGAACTGCTGCTCCACCTCCTTGTTTACCACTGGATATAGAAGACACAAGGCTGAAGGAGAACACAAGGCTTTTGGACGAAGGGAGGCTTTTTGGCTGAAGGGAAATTTCTGGAGGGAGAATTGCCGAAGGGAGAACTGCTGAAGGGAAAAGAATTGCTGAAGGAAAATTGCTACAGGGGAATTGCTAAAGAGGGGTTGACAGAATTGGTTGGCAGCTTGTGAGGGAATGACAGAGCTGCTGTTATTTGTTTGCAATCTGAGGACCAAGGCTTTAAGAAAGCTAAAGAGAGAACATGGGACAGTGCAAGTCTAAGGAAAGAAACTATAAAGAATAGAAAAGAAGCAGGGTCTTAAAGAAAGATTTTAGAAGCAAGGTTTTAAAAGAACTGTAAAGGAGTAAGGCCTTAAAGAATAAAAATAGAGAAAAGAAGCAGAGTAGATGAAGAGAATAATAGAGAAAAGAAGCAATGGGGTTGTTGTGCATCTCCATCCGAGTGTGCAACACACCTGGCCCCAACTTTCTGAATGTCTGTCTATCCTTTGTCCTTTCTGCATCTCCCATTGCCCCCAGTTAGGCCCAGTTAGGTTCAGTAGTAACAGGAACAAGAGAAAGCTTGCTCCAAGAGGGTAAGCTACACTTTATTTTTAAGCAAAAAAAAAAAAAAAGACTTAAAATGTGACTTAAAAAATATTAGTGAGTATTGAGTTCACTATGAACCAAGGACTGTGCAAAGGGCTTTATGCACATAATTGTACTTAGTCCTCAAAACAATCCTATGAGTGATCTAATATTATCTGCATTTCACAAATAAGGACAGAGAGTCACTCAGCAATTAGATGACAGTCAAAATTCAACACCAGGTCTTTCAGACTTTATAGTTCTCTTTTTCTATTTAAGTCCTATGAGGTATAAGATAAAACATATATTGAAAAAAACTCCCAAGAATAACTTGGCCTGAAGCACAATGGAACATCATTACGTGTAATATTAAATTGTGCATATGAAGTTATTTCTTAAATTAAAAACGAACTTATGCTAGAATATACATGGTAGGAAAACAACCACAAAGAGAGGCATATTCTTCATTATTTCTACCCATTGACTTAGATCATACCTAGCAAGAACTCAAGTTACAACATTATTCTGAAGAGAACTCACGTTACCTTCAGTTACTGGCTGGAGTTTAGAAGATCGTTCTGAATCAGGAGAGTGTAGGGGTTCAGGCTCTTTCAGGCATTCCAAATGCATAAAAGGGTCATAATCTACAGATGCCAAATCAGAGAGGCTTATTGGAAAATACTTTGGATTGGTAAAACACTGAGCTCCATAAACACACCCATGCAAAACCTAAGGGAAAAGAAAATACCAAGTTTTACTTCTAAGTGAAAATAAAGGTAAAAAGAAAAAAAAGGTTGATTTGTAAGAAGAGGCTTGGGAAAAATTTTAAGTATTTTAAAATTTAGCTCTTAAACCAAGGCAAAATTTAATACCTCTTAAGAAAAAGAATGAATCAAATTCAACTAGTAGTTTTTGTATTCAACACACTCTAATTTCTTTCAAAAATTTTCAATGCAAGAAAACTGTACAAAGTAATTTTAAATTGCCTTTAAGTACTATAAGCTAAATCTCAGATACCAGAAAATATCTAACTCTAAAACAATGAAAATGTTATACTCAGAAATGTTATTTCTCTAATTCTTAAACCCTTGGTCACCAAATAAATAATAAAGCAAATAAGGAAGTTTATACCTTATAAATGCAATTGAGGACAGATTTTTCTGTCTTATCATTTTCTGCTCCTGTAGGATGGACTGGTTGGAGTAATATCTTTAGAGGTAAAGCCATGATCCAGTCCAAAAGGCACAGAAGTAAGGATACTACCAACTGTAACAACAATAAGAACAGCAAAACCATTATAATTGCAAATTCATAAGATAAGAGCTTTTTAATATTTAATAATTCACTTTTTTTTTTTTGCAGTACTGGGGGCTTGGACTTACACTTGCTTAGGCGGGTGCTCTACCACTTGAGCCACTGTGTCAGACCTTTTTGCTTTGGTTATTTTTGAAATGGAGTTTTGATTTATGCCCATCCAGCCTGGGCTGGGATTTTACTATTTATGCTTCCATATGTAGCTAGGATGATAGGCATATACCACCATGCCCAGCCACTGGTTGAGATGGGGTCTTGTGAACTTTTGGTCATAGTATCTAGCCTTAAATGGCTATCCTCCCAATCTTTGTTTTCCAAGTAGCTAAGATTACAGGCTTGAGCCACTGAGTATGGACACCTTCTTATTCTTGGGTTTCCAAAATTTATTTTAGGAGCCATCAACCCAAATTTCAACTATTAATATTTACATAGATATAATGGATTTTAAGATGTTGTATATGAACATTATTGTGGGGTTCTCTTTCATATTTCAGAGAAGGCACAATAAAAACAATAAAATAAGAATGTTAACATTATTTTAAGTTAATATAAACACATTGAGCTTAAAAGACAACACATATTGGGGTTGTAGTTGTAGTTCAGTGCTAAAGAACCCAGATTTAATCCCCCCAGCACTACAAAAGAAAAGAAAACTGCACAGATATTAGCTACATTTACTTAACTGAACAAAGACAGACACAAGGTTTTAATTGTTATATTACAATCACTTCTACTTTCCTTTCCTAATTTAACAACACCTCACAGAGTATCCTGCCAGAAAGTCTACCTTAAGCAATTTTTGCAATCATTCGTTACTCATTTTATCTAAACAAAATTTTCCATAGGACACTTTTAACCTAATGGATGCTATAAACAGAAATTTATATAAAAAGGAGCAAAATAGCAGTATACGTTTTATAAATAAATAATCATAATTCACGCTATGGAAGGAACAGTTTGTGTCAGGAATGGGGCAATCAAATAGTAACAAGAGATCTGCTGATCATTAGAGTTAAAGACCAACTCTCTTAAATCAAGGAGCAGTTCTGGTCTAAATTTCCTAACCCAAACTCCAAAAGAACAGTAAGAATAACCAAAAAACCAAAAAACAAACAAACAAAAATCTCATAAAACTAATACTTTCCATGTAACCAGAGGACAGAGACTATCCAAATTTCAAATTATTTGTAAGTAGAAAAATATACAGCAAATCTCAGCAAGTTGTTTTTTTTTTTTCCCCCCTTCTTTCCCCATTACAGTCTTTCATGAAGAGTAAGGGCAATTTGAGAAAAACTGTGAAAGAGAAGATGGAAACTAGCTATGAATCTAAGACTGATCTAAAACCAACCCAAAAGAAAAAGTTCATCCTAAGTGTGAAAATACTGAAACACGTTGCTAAGTATATCAGACTACTAAATAGAAAGTAGGGACTTAGAAGTACACACAGGAAAGGCAAGCTTTAGGAGAAAAGAATGTTAAAACAGACTAGAGAGACATGCTTTGAAAAATATGTACTAAAAAGAAAAAGCAGAAGAGAAAACCTGGATCCTGCAAGTCTTAAAACTACTAAAGAAGGAACTCTTGAACTAGGAATTTGTAAACTTAGCCCAAGCAATAGAAACACAGAGGCACTGTTTTCATCTATGCAAAACTACTATAAAAAGAAAACAAAATGAGAACCTGAGTAATTGAATGGATGAGACCAAAACGTGTCTTACCAGGATGGGTTTAACTTGCTTAATAAAAGAAAAGAGATTTTCAGTTTGGTTCATGAAGAATGACCCATGTATGTGTTGTACTAAAGAGTTAAACAAAGACTCAGAAATGCTAAAATTAAAGGAATGGACAAAGAGAACATCAGGCCAATTAGAATTAAGAAGCAAATAGAATTGAAATAATAAATTAAATAAAAGCTATAATGCAAAATGAATATAAATAGTTACGAATATATGTGCATCAAATAACATAGTAACTAACTTTATAAAGCAAAAACTACAAGAGATACAAGGAATAAAATACGAGTATTAGGAGAATTTAACATACCACTGTCAGGGCACTACAAGACAGAATAAATGGGGAGAAAACCTACATGAACAAAAGTTAATTGAGATCACAGCAAAGTTTAACAGTATTAAAGGGAACTTGTCACCAAGATGTTTGAAAACTGCTGATGAAGAAACTTGTGAAGAGATTCAAGTAAATATGGAACTTTGTTATTTGCTAAAGAGCAAAGATGTATTTTTAAATAAAAGATACTCAGACATCTGGGTGCCAATTTGTGAAAACAACAAAAACAAAATCCATCTCTACATACAGAACAAACTTCAAACGGATTAGGCATATAAATGTAAAAAAATGAACGTATACAAATAATAGAAGAAAACAGGTGAGTTCTTATCCAGGGTACAGTGAAAGGTTAACTTTGACTAGAATCCAGGCACAGTGAAAGAAAAGATTTTAATAAACTGAGTACATAAAAATACTTTTCCATGATCCTTACAAACAAACAAAAACATTCTAAACAAAGGCAAGAGGCAAATGAAGAAAGGAGACAATATCTGTGATATATATCATAAAGAGCTAACATTGCTAATACATAAAAATTGAGGGGAAAACCTGAAGGAAAATTTTTTAAAAATCATGAATAGACCATTAGCACATTACTAAATATGAGGATTTCCAATGTCACTTACAACAGGAGATGGATAAAGGAAAACAATACTAAGATACAACTGCTCACCCACCAAAATGGTAAAAATTTATGAATATGACAAGCTCTGTACTGGGACTCTGGGAAAACACTTTCAGAGTTTGCTGGTGGAATGCTAATATTTAACAGTATTAAATATCTGTTTACCTTTTGACTCAGTAACTACTTCTAGGAATATTTCCTGAAGGCGCATTCCAACAATGCAAAAATACATAAGCACAACGTCAGTTACTGCAGCATTGTATAGCCGAATCAGAAGAGTGGCTGAATGAGCTATGGCACATCCACACAATAGAGTACTAACACAATTCAGTTGTAAAAAGGGAATGACAGGACTGAGGGTGTAGCTCAAGTGGTAGAGCACCTGCCTAGCAAGAGCAGGGCCCAGGATTCAAACTGTGGGATATACTGTGCATTTATAAGATATACTGTCAGAGAACACCCATAGAGTGGGAGAAAATATTTGCCAACTCTACATCAGACAAAGGACTGATAACCAGAATATATAGGGAACTTAAAAAACTAAATTCTCCCAAAACTAATGAACCAATAAAGAAATAGGCACGTGAACTAAACAGAACTTTCTCAAAAGAAGAAATTCAAATGGCCAAAAAACACATGAAAAAATGCTCACCATCTCTAGCAATAAAGAAAATGCAAATCAAAACCACACTAAGATTCCACCTCACCCCTGTTAGAATAGCCATCATCAGCAACACCACCAACAACAGGTGTTAGCGAGGATGCGGGGGAAAAAGGAACCCTCTTACACTGTTGGTGGGAATGTAAACTAGTACAACCATTCTGGAAAAAAATTTGGAGGCTACTTAAAAAGCTAGACATTGATCTACCATTTGATCCAGCAATACCACTCTTGGGGATATACCCAAAAGACTGTGACTCAGGTTACTCCAGAGGCACCTGCACACCCATGTTTATTGCAGCACTATTCACAATAGCCAAGTTACGGAAACAGCCAAGATGCCCCACTACTGACGAATGGATTAAGAAAATGTGGTATCTATACACAATGGAATTTTATGCAGCCATGAAGAAGAACGAAATATTATCATTTGCTGGTAAATGGATGGAATTGGAGAACATCATCCTGAGTGAGGTTAGCCTGACCCAAAAGACCAAAAATCGTATGTTCTCCCTCATATGTGGACATTAGATCAAGGGCAAACACAACAAGGGGACTGGACTTTGAGCACATGATAAAAGCGAGAGCACACAAGGGAGAAGTGAGGATAGGTAAGACACCTAAAAAATTAGCTAGCATTTGTTGCCCTTAACTCAGAGAAACTAAAGCAGATACCTTAAAAGCAACTGAGGCCAATAGGAAAAGGGGACCAGGAACTAGAGAAAAGGTTAGATCAAAAAGAATTAACCTAGAAGGTAACACCCACGCACAGGAAATCAATGTGAGTCAATGCCCTGTATAGCTATCCTTATCTCAACCAGCAAAAACCCTTGTTCCTTCCTATTATTGCTTATACTCTCTCTACAACAAAATTAGAAATAAGAGCAAAATAGTTTCTGCTGGGTATTGAGGGGGTGGAGGGGAAAGGGAGGGGGCGAAGTGGGTGGTAAGGGAGGGGGTGGGGGCAGGGGGGTGAAATGACCCAAGCCTTGTATGCACATATGAATAATAAAAGAAAAATAAATAAATAAATAAATAAATAAATAAATAAGGCTAAAAAAAAAAGATACACTGTCTAGTGAAAAATGTGAAGTAGCAGAGAATATGTAGAACATGTTATATAATAAAAGGAGTTAAAAAAGAAAAACATGTTTGCTCACTTGTGCAAAAATAACAGGATAAATGAACTACAGACAAATTAAAAAATAAGAATAGAGAGATAACCCTAACATGGAATAGAAACAGAAACAAATGACCTGAGCTCTATTTATATGGTGATTTGAAAAAATGTACCCGGCATGTGAACTTCATATGTAATATTTCAACTTCAAGAGAACTTTCTAATTTTGAAAGATATTTTTAAATTCCCATTTTACATAGAGAACTGAGACTCAGGGTAAGGCCCCACAGTCACATAGTTGTTACTAAACATCAAAGTGAAGAATGGAACCATGATTGGCAGATAGATAACAAAACCTATGTTCTTTCTACTGACATCAGTACAGAACTTTCATCTGTTTTAAATTGGGACATAATTTCAGGTTTTTTTATTTTGTTTTTGTTGTTTGGCAGTGCCAGGGATGGAATGCAGGGCCTCAT